GCTGGCACCACGCCCTGCTCTCGGGTGAGGTCACTGCCCCGCTGGCATAGTGAGGTCACTGTGTCACTATAACCATTAGGTGTTGATGAACATAATGAGGGAGTGTGAGAGATGTTTGATGTTTTCAAGGTGTCTGTACTCCCAGTTTGCAGTTTCTGGTTCACAGACAATTCTGTGCCTGTCTCTTTTTCTTTGTGCAGAAGTGGATAATCGCTGAGCCGTTGATTCGCCAGCAGGACCACTGCCTTGCCATCTCTGCCTTCTCCTCTGGGTCAAAGGTCACACTTGAGCCCTGTAACCAGAAGGACAGCAGACAGGTAGAAAAATCCACCTTCTTCTGCCACACTCTCCATTGGTTACAAAAATGTCAGGCCTTACCAGGCAGCAGCAGTACCGTGCCAAGCTAATTAAGCTTTCACCAAAACAAGAGCTGATTAGAACAGAGCAAGGGTCTCCAGCACTTCTCCCGGAGAGCCATTGTTCAGCCAGAGGAGAAAAATGGGTAAAGCAATACCAGGCAATTACCAGGCTGAGCAAAGAATTGTATTGTGCAGTGTTCTTGTTTCTGTACTGGCAGAATGCTGCTTCAGCAGCTTTGACCACAGGGCACTGCCAAGACAAGCAAAGACATGGCTGAGTGCTATTCTATAAGAACTGGAGTACATGGCACTAGATGCCTTCCAAGGAAGTCTGGTCCCTGGCTTCAGCTGCTGTCAAAGTGAGATTTAATTCTGACCAGCTTTCCTGAATGGAATTAAACTGTAGGCTGTGACGAACATAGTCATTACTAAATGCCTTTAGGAATCTGTGCCTCTATTTATTGAACGTTAAGCCGCTTTAAGTCATTTAAGAAAAGGCTTAAAATTGAAAACAAAGTGCTGTATTATAAAACCAAACTTGCCTTATGCAGATTATGTTTGAACAAACAAGCTTTGTTTTCTGTGCTGAGCAGAGTTAGAATGCCGTCCAGCTAACACTGTAAAGCTTCTGAACTGAGGGACTCTTCCAGGGAGAAATGATTATGAGTATGGATTTTAACTGGTACCAGTCCACGGGAACTGGGAGGGAGGCATTGTGGGTAGGAAGTTGGAGTGTTTGAAAGCTGTGAGCACTGAACCGTGGATGATGATGTTGGTGGAGATAATTCTGAATCTGCGACTCTGAGGGATACCCCTTTCTCACTGTCCCAGTCACTTATTAAAAACACATTGAGCCCCAGAGCCAATTTCTCTTGATTAGAATTAATGTGTGATTCCATTGGAACCACCTGGGAGTGATTTACTCTTCCCAGATTACTCTAACTGAAACATTCTGTGCGAGTGTGGGCCTGACACAAGCCATATCTCTCTTGACAGCTCACAAAGAAACCCACATGTATTTGTCTGGAAACAGCAGGCTCCACTTTTGGGGATGAATTCAGTATACTTGATGCCGTTTTCTCTGATGTGGAAATACGATGTTGGCTTCTTTTAAAAAAGGGAAGACTGTGAAACTGAAAGAGTCTTGAAGGTGCCTGAGCTGTGTTGAAAGCCAGGCTTCTGCGCGAATGTCGGACCACTAAACCTGGCAAGAAAGAGGGAGGGGGGGGCGAACACTTCAGAATACCAGGCCATACAAAACACGTCCTGAAAGCATTACGGTGCGTTTGTACTGTATTATCCTCCCAAAATGTCTCCCCCATATAAAACCTGTTTAGCTCAAATTTTTCATTCTCATAAAGCACCTTCTGGGAAAACTACTTAAACACGATTTAAAATCAAACACAACACAGGGGAGGTGCAGGCAAGGTGGAGAGATGTCATTGTTCTCCGGAATTATTTTAATTTTCCTTTACTAAGCACCTCGGAAAGCCACCCTTAAAATAAGGTTGTTTCTTTTTAGCATTATTATTTAATAGCTGCATATATGCTGCGCTTTTTGTCTCACAGGATCTTAAAGCTCTTTTTTATTTAGGAGGGCACCTATTTCATCCAGCCCTGAAGTACAGCCCCATCTGGTTAAGACAGCAGCCCCACTGCACGGCATGGCAGATAAGGGGTGGGGACAGAAAATTGCTTCACCAGCTGAATTATTAAAAGACAAGTGTAGGGAAGCCTTATTGTACAGGCCCACTTTAAAACCTAGCCTGGACACTGGAGGTAACACTTCTGCTATTGGATCTTTAATGATTAAGTCCCCCAGAACCTCGGTTCCCTCCTGCAACAGTGCCTGCAGACACCACACTGGGGCTGTAAGTGATAGTGCTAATTTGTAAGTCTGATTTCAGTAACCCAAAAATCCTCTTATATTCCCAACCGTTAGGGTGTTTCCAAGATCCTGCTCCTTGGTTCCCATTTTCCCTTCAAAGTCACCACCTGTAAGCATGCTTAAGGGCTCTTCATGCACAGAAAACAAATGGCAGTCGACCAATTAATGACGCTTAAAGATTAGTGTCACCTGGCCTAGAGGGTGGAGCAAATTATTCAACCGCAGTGTAAATACCAGAAAATAAAAATACACATTGTTGCAAAGCAATCCAGTAAGGGCATTGGTCAAAGAAACGAAACATTACAGGAACCCCGCAACATAAAAAATGTGTGGCATGAGAATTTATCAGAGCAAGCTGCTAAGTGTAAGGAAAGTTAATTCTCACAGTGACAGAAAAAGTGTGACAACATGGATCACCAGTCTCAGTCTTTGTGCTTGTGTGCAATTTAGCCAGCATTTCTGGATTTTCTCCTGGGGTGTCTGTGAAACAGCCAGTAGGATATTAAGGGGAAAGGCACAGCTGACATGGAACCATTTAGTAAAAGTTCAAGAGACGCCGGGTTTGCTTAGAGCCGTGACAATGGGGAAGAGCCTAGGAGAAGCCCCTCCTGAAATGGAGCATTGTGCAGAGCAGAGTGAAGTGAAGGAGGGAAGGGAAAGAGATGATATTCTTCAGCATAGAGCATGCACTGTCATAAGAAAAGAGGATCAAGGGATTTAGAACTCATATGTTTTTGGAGATCTGTCTGACACATAATGTACGCAGCTATTTTGTTGAAATGAGCAGACACTGACATCAGCCAGACTGCTTTGCATCACCCTTGAAAAGAAAGCTAAGCACAGATACACAGGGTTCTGCTTTCAGCCTGAATCAACATAGTTATAGTGCTGGTGCAGAGGCATGATAACCCAGTAACAATATAATCTGTTAAAATAGAATAAGGTACTGATACTTTTTTAAATGTGCCGGAAAATTCGTGTCCTTAGCATTATTTGGTGTAACATATGTTGGGTACAAAAATCCTAAACACATTGTTTGTGTGTGTTTACAGTTCTTACGCGTGTGAAGTGTTTTTAATCTAATATACAGGATTTCTTTAGCTGTTTGTTTTACAGTACAGCCCCTTGCGTCAAATTTCCCTTTTGGGGGAACTGAGTTTGAATATGAGTAACAGCTTTAACTGCTGGGAAGATCCATAATCATTATATTTTTTTGGTAATTTGCTTCTTTAGAATCCATCGATCTAGAACGTATTTACTGTACATTTCACAGGCGTCTATCTTCTAGACAAATGAAACCCCGTCTGGAGGAGCTGAGACTGATAAATGATAAATTAATCTTCCATGATTAATTCGCCATGTGTTTCCACTTGTTCAACTTTTCCCAAGTTGTTTTACCGATTTTAAGGAATTTTTCCAACCTGTGGAAGCCTGACCTTTTGCTTCTGATTCATTTCAATATGCAACCTGAGTCTGCCTCTGAAAACACACAACCTCATGGCAGAATATTTCCATAAATTCCGTTAACCATTTCTATTGGAGTTTCAGCTGAAACTCTCTAACTGGGTATCTGTAGTTTCTAGCTTCTCTATTTCTATTTGTTTCCAACCTGGAATTTTATGTCTTGGCTCAGCCTATGTGTGTGAAGTCATTTTTAAGGTGTTTCAAAAAATGTAATTGTATGATTTAAAAGTGTGTGACATTATTACTCCACAGCTTTCAGTCCTTGTTGTGATCTAAGAAATGGATTGGGTCCTTCAGTGCCACATCACAAAGGTTCATGGTTGTCTTAGTATATTGCCTGTTCATTATCTTTGTGTTCAATGTAGTTGCTTTTGAAAAGCAAATCTTATAGCTTAAAGTTCTTTTAAGTACTAACAAGCAACAAATTATCTGCTGTTGGCAGTGCTTTGAGCTGAAATCTGTTGATTCTGTTAAACACCAAAAGTGGTATGTGTACTAAAACAGGACAGTGTACTTGGTAATCATTATCCTGTATTATGTCCTACCTAGTGGTGTACTTGTTTTAGGTGAAGCCGAGGGATAGCTGTCAGCTTGTCTCTTAAAGCAAGCACTCATAGTGTTAGACTTCTTGCCTTGGCTGGTTTAGATGACATGATTGCACTCAAGACACTGTTTTATAGTAATGTGTTATCACTGAGCACAGCCTGACCTACAGCTGCAGTTTAAGTGGAGGTTTATTAGGAATAAATGAAATAAGACAGATGGATATAACTATTTGTCTGTTTAATGCCCCCCAGATAAATTCTTTAATAAATTGCAGTTTTTGATTTGCTGCTCATTTGAGGTCTTTAGAGAGAACCAGAGCTACTTGTTTTGCCACAGTATCAACTATATATTTTTGATGTGATATCTTTTAGAAGTCTACAATCAATAGGATACTGATTAACTATGCTTATAAGGGCTGAACCGGCTGAACCCTTAGCTGAGTGTAGGAGAGTCCTGTTAAAGCACGATACAACTGCAGGAGAGGAAACAAAAATGGAAATTGGTATAAAATACAGTGAAAATTATCATAAAAGGGCAAAATTACATAATGGATTTACTTTGGTGAATGTTTAAAGGGATGTGATGGATTTGCCAGGAGTCCAAGAAGTTAGGATTCCCAGCATGAAGTGTAAAGCCTTTACTTCATTTAGGTCTTCAAATGCAATTTGTGTTAATTATATTGTTTTGTTCTAATGTAAAATGTTTGAGAAGAGATCAAAGTTTACACGGTTTAAGCATTTCAAGTCTTTCTTTCAGATTTCATGGCTGATCATATAAGTATGTATTCTGCTTGTGCGCAGTGCATGACTGATCACTGTGATTCAGGGGTGGTTTGAAATTTTCTCAATCAGATATACAAAACACCTGTGCCAATACTTTTATTTTACTACAGCCCAGCAGCAATATTCTAGATTGCTTTCTCCTTATTCCCTTCTTCTTGTTTTTCCACATAGACAATAACGGATGTTGGATAACAAACATATCAACATGCTATATGATTACAGTACATTTTGATTAATACATGCTGAAAGTTTCTTTCAATGCCAAATGTTACATGATGTGAAATGCTTGAGGTTCCTAGATCTAAACCTGCCGAAGACCATACCTACAAAGCAGGTAGCTGCCATAGATCCGGCCCTTTGCCTCCGCATTGGGCTCAGACGATACCTCACAAGCACTGTTCTTCTTTCTCCAGAAGTGGAAACCAAAAGGCTCATCTCTGCAGCACCAAGTCAGCGGCCTGTGCCTGGACAGCCAGCCTGGCCCGGTGGTCATCAGCCAGTGTCGCCCCCAACTGGCCAGCCAAACCTGGGACCCCCAGCCCGCCACATGATCACCACGCTGGACAGAGGGGCAGGGGGAGGGGCGGGGGGCTGCAGGGGGGGGGCAGACTGTGGACTAACGGACCTATGGGACGCCCAGGTGAGAGAGAGAGGGCCAGAGGCACTGACCTGCTGTGAGCTTGTTCACAAGCCCCTCTGCAGTGATTTGTCCGACTTTTTGCCATGTTTTCATTATTCAGAAGGGGAAAGCAGACAGTTTTTCACAGGTGAAGTCACCTGCCTCCCCTCCTATCAACTATTGTCCTGAATTAAACTGTCCAAAGTGCAACACCTTTGACTTTTAAGTGAGTAAGCAGACTCACACAGATGTGATTAATGTCTTTTAGAAAGTAGAGGATATTCTCAAACATCCTCATTATAAAAAAATAATCCTTACACTTGTCTAGCGCTTTTCTGGACACTCCACTCAAAGCGCTTTACAGGGAATGGGGACTCCCCTCCACTGGATTGGATACCAGTACTTGTAGCTGTAATTAATTTATGGGGAAACTGATAATTTGGAGAAACTGTCTATTTCTTATTAGCATATACTAGCATTAGTAGTAACTCACTGTCTCAAAGTAAGCACACTCAAAGTATTTTGAAGAGAAAAACTGTCCACATGACGCATCAGTCAAATTCCGAGCAGGTCACAGATAATTCAAATTGGGCCAGTAACACATTAAGCTTTGTCTGCACGCTTCCATTGGGATTTGTGGAGGATTAAAGTGTGCACTCTTGTCTCTGTTTCTATCAATGTCCAAACCGCGCAGCAATCACTGTCACTTTTAATTGAAATGAAAAGTGTCTCTACAACAATTCCCAACAATCCTGGTCGCCCAGGAACGAATACTGGGTCAAAATGGCATAAGGTGGAGATTTTTTGTGAATGTAAGGGTTGCACTCTGAACAGTGCTGCCCAGTGGCACTGACTGTAGGGAAAATTGGACAGTTCCATTTTCTGAAAAGGGGGGGAGGTCCACTTATACCAGGGGGAAAGGAATGTTCCACTGTGATGGGGAGGTGCAGGGGCTGTGAAGTAAGTACTGTCAAGACGTATTATTTATTTTGCATGGGATTTTTCTTCAAGTTACACTTGAACAGCTGAGAGGCGAATTTGCAGCCCAAAGAATGTATTTTTTTTAATCCTGTAAATATTTTAACAAGAACTTCCCATAGTTCTGACAGAAGAATTATTTCATTCGTTTCAAATAAAAGGGACTTGATCACACACCGCTGTTGTGTTTTTCTGTTGTGTGTTGTGTGAAGAAATCTGCAGAAGACTTGAACTCCCTGGTCGGACAGGGCTGTTAATCAGGGCTGACATCTGCACTTTGGGGTGCGATGCTTTGTGTTTGAACCAACATGCTATACATCTTGCTAGGTCGTGGAATTTAAATTCTGTATTGTTTCTGGGGAATGATTATTAGTGTATGGAATGAACTTCACAGCCACATGTAAAGATTAATACATTGTAGGAAGCTAATTCCTGTATTTCCATTCCTGTATGGTGTGAGCACAAATTCACCAGCACCCTGTTTATCACATTCCTGTCACTATTACTCATTTCCCGGGCATTCTGTAGTCTACAAAATGTATAAACCAATTTCTAAGGTCTAATCCTGAAGCAGTTGCAAGGTTTCTAAAGTGTGTAATTCAGGACTGTGGTCGCAAGCTGTGCTTGAGGCTGAACCATGTGAGTAATGAAGGAAACAGGAGTGTGACCCCTGAAAAGGGGCAGAATTGTGGCCTCACAGCACTGGGGGCCCCCAGGTTCAATTCCAGGGGTGCTACTGTATGTGTGTGGAGTTTGTAAGTTCTCCCCGAGTTTGTGTTGGTTTCCTCCAGGTACTCTGGTTTCCTCCCACAGTCTACAGACATACTGGTAGGTGAATTGGCTTCTGGTAGGAAAATTAGCCCTGGTGTGATTGTATGTGTTGCTGTTTGGTTGTGTGCTGTGATGGACTGGCATCTTGTCCAGGGCATATGCCGCCTTGCGCCTGTTATTTGCTTGAAAGGGCTCCAACTCCCCCATGACATTGAATTGGAAAAAAGTGGTTAGAAAATGGAGGGGTGGACTCCAGCCTACTGTGTCATTAACGAGTACAAGTATACAGTATCTGGCCAGTGACATAATTCAACTCTCACATAGGCAATTCAACAGAAGAGTCAGAGAAGAGTCACTCCACACTTGGGTACTGTCTCAATATGCAGACAGTAGCTTCTGGAATTCCTGTCTGTAAGAATTCCGATACAGCACATCGCGCTGCAGGGTTTGCTAATGATCGTGAATTTAAAGGCACACCAACCCAGGGCCACAGACCTACAAAGCAGCTGCCACCCCCTCTCAGATTTAATAATTTAATGAGAAAATTGCCCGTGCAGATGTATCCATTTGCGTTCCCTGTACCCACCCTGTTTCAAGTGGAAACAGTTCATCAGCTTTCTGCCCCAAAAGGAGCCCTCAGATTATTCCAGAGTTTGCCAAAAAGTCAGCATTGAAACGCCGCCAACCATTACTTCATCACTTTAAAACACACACAATGTATCCCCAGCAACATGAGTGGGTAAAACCCTGAGGGATTTAGATTCAAAAGCGGTTAAAGAAAATTTTAAAAAGGGCCCAGTCGAGTAGTTAGAGCGAGGTGCTGTCTGGGACTAACGACACAGCAGCTGGACTGACGCTTTTAAGGAAAACGAGACCCTAAAACGAGTTTAGGTTACTTTCCCTTAGGTAGACATCACTTAAAAGAATACTTTTACAATCTGTGGTAATTAAGGATTTCAGCTTCACAGCCACCTTTATAAGATTCATGGTGTATTTTCAACAGATCCTCCCTGATTTAGAAGTAGGAAAGTAGGGTTAAGATTCAGCCAACACACTGTGCTTAAACTCCTGCAAGCAGTTTTGCAGGCTTCACCAGCAGCAGATCTGTCAGCACGCAGTTCGCAGGGTCTGCTTGAGTACAAAGAGTTCGGTTCTAAAGACAAGTCCAGTTCTGTCCGATTTTAATTTCTGTTTGGTTTCTGAAAGTATTCCAGTTATATATAGTGATTATATATATATAGATTACATATATATATATAGACATTTTAAACGGAACAATTAGCCCATCTGACCGGACCCCAGGTACCTACAGTAATTTGTCTGTACCCAAGTCTCATTTAAAAGTTAGTTTCGCCAGAAGAAAATGATTTTTGTCGACTTATTTTAAAACATAATTCTGATTAAATTAAACACAATTAGTTAAATATAATTAACATAAGATAATTCATTTAATCCGCGTAATTAGAAAGGAAACATTATGGAGAAAAACAAATTATACTCGGTGCCATTTTGTTTTTTGTGCACTTACAAAGAGACACACTAAGTTTGAGTTGCGTACAATTTGACAGTGGCTCCAATTGCAAGCAATTTTAATTTGCACGCAGTACAACTTTCCTTTCTACAATATTCTCCTAAAGTAACCACAGAAAATAGAAAGAAAATACAACAAAAATACACAAAAGACAATTACTGTGGCACTAACTACTCTAACCACCCAGTCTGTGATTCAGTGTGAAATATCGTGCAATATCAATCAATCAAAATGTATTTATCAAATGCATAACACTACAGCGTGCAGCAGTAGTTGCTGGCAATGAAATGTATTTTTTGGGATAGGATAATATGGAACATGATAAGGGTCTAGATTGTGTGCTATCGTTCGTCTGGAGCAGGGTTGCAGTTTTAAAATAGTCATTTCTAATTTTTCCAGTTACTTTATTGTTGGTCTGAATAATATCTTGATTTAATAATCATATAATAATAAGATATTAAATAAGCGGTTTTTTAAACTGCAGTATTTTAACTCGTGGGGAACTGATTCGTTCTGCAGTACCAATATTACCCAGCAGGTGGAGCGCTAATCTTAGAAAATGGTCTCGCGATCTTGTGTTTAGAACCAACGGCTGGATGCATCAGTCCCAACTCCCATGCAACTGTTTACGTGCAAGTGCAAGCCTTGCAATACTTCACTTATAAATTACTTCTGTTGTGGACTATGTTTACAGATCATTTGCAGATCAATAACCTGGTAGGTGAATGAACTGTTTTTTCTTCCATACAATGCTTTATTAACTTGACTGTCAGTAGCTTGATTCCATGCATTTATCAAGTATCATTCACAACCCCTAAAGCGTTACCCTTGGCTTATCTCTAGAAATATTGATTTGATCACTTGATTATGTAAAACTACAGAATATTCATAATCTCTTTTTAATTTACTGGGCAGGTGCCACATTCCAAGGTGATCATCAAATGTAATCATCAAGCAATGGCATTTTCATTTTCAGAGTAATTTTTCATATACTGTAGCGTCAGTAATGATGGGTCCCCTCGTTAGCTGCAAGAGAGATTTTGCAACACCGTCTTGTGGTCCTTCATGCAAGGGGTGGCCAGAAACGGCAAACCCAGAGCATTGTCACCTTGGAAAATAAACCCAGGGGTGTGATAACATGGACAAGGCACACAACACAGCACTGTCTGCTGTCGTAATGACACAGCTGTGGTAAACGCAGTCCTGCCAGTCATGGTGATGCAGCCCCACACCAGCACTGAGGAACTGCCGCAGGGAGATGATAGTGTTGTCTCACATGACGCCACTTCCTGGCACAGGCTTCTCAGAAGAACACGATTCCTGACACCCTGTGTGTAACCACTGGGCTGCAGTCTCTTCATGCTGGTGGTTTCCAGTACATGCTTCGTGTCCACACTTGAACCCTGGCCTGTGGAGTTGTGCCATCAGTCACTCACTGCCCTATAGGACAGTAGTAGGTCAGATGCTTCCTGGATTTTCACCACAGCATCGTATTTCCAGGTTTGTGGAATCGGGAGCATAAGAAGCTGATGATCAACTGGGAGACACACTCAGGTACACTCCCTCACGCCCGAAGAAGGCTCCACAGCCGAAACATTGTGTTTTCTTTCTTCTCTTTTCACCATAGAATAAACCATAGAATTACTTGTTCCTTTGCAGCCAAGCATGCTGACGCAGCTACCCACCTGAGACACAGAGGTAGCTGTGTATCCAAGGGCCCTTCCTTCCTGAAGCGCTTTTTCTTGAAACCTGAGATCAGAAGACATGCCTTTACACAAAGAGTTGTGGGAGTGTGGGATAAGTTGCCCAGCCAAGCTGTTTGAAGTTGATTTCAGGAAATAGCTGGATGAAAGAGATCCTTAAATCAATTAGCTCCTAACTACCAAACAGACTCGATAGGCTGAATGTCCTCTTTTTTAAAATATTGAATCGTAGTCACAGCAAATATGATTGAACATGTTTTCTCTGTTTTCGAATCCCCAATCTTGTTCTTTTCACATGACTTGCATGGTTTTCCGCTGGACCAGTGACTGTGCTGGTCATTATGTTTTCGTAGCTACAAATGTTGGGACTGGAACACTTAGAACAAATAGCACAATGCAAAAACAACCGATGTTATGCTGCAGTTAAAACCCAGCTCCGGGCATGTGTTGCTTTCAAATTCTGTTTTAGAATTAGAACTTTGGGCAGGAGAGTACATGCCCAAAGGTGTACATTACGCACTGTATGGTTTAACATTGTGTTGCTGGCCATAAGTCCCATCCTTGGAGACTCCTGCCTTGGAAGAGCAGACCTGTGCCGATCACTAGGCAGGGATGTGTGCTGCCACTCCCCCACACCTGACAGAGCTAAGAAAGCAAGATTGATTGCAGCAAGATAGATAGATTTACAAATCCCTTCCTTGCCATTCAATACATGTGTTTGCTTCTTAATTAACAGCCAGCCAGCCAGCCAGTTTGTTCCTCATCCAGCAATGTGAGGGCACAACTGGGAAGAGGAGATCAACTGCTGTGTAGGGGCTGCAGTGTTTCCCCGCACACACGATCACATCATTTGACATTATTACTTTCTTCCATGCAATATATAGAAATATCTGACCAACAAAGAACATAAAGAAGACAAATAGTGCCAATTTTAGTTAAATCCTCATTTACATCTATATATAAGTGCTGCTTACAAAAATATTTGTATTTTTTTATCCAATACAGGGTTGTGGGGGAGCCGAAGCCCATACCAGCAATAGGTAGAATGCGAGATACGCCCTGGACGGGATGCCAGTCCATCGCAGGGTGCCCACATACACACACTCACACCAGGGCCAGGTTTTTCCAAAAGCCACTAAACCTACCAGCATGTCTTTGGACTGTGGGAG